TTGAAAAATAGGACATGTACTTCAAAAAGGAAGATGTACAACTGACTAATAAACATGAAAAATCTAAACATTACGATGTATCGAAGAAACAGAAATTAAACCAAAGGCAATGCCATTTTACACGCACTACAATATCTAAAAACAAAAACAAAACAAAACATAAAAATTCTTACTACCAATGTTGGTGAGGATGTGGAGCAAAGAGAACTCTTATATGCCACTGCTGGGAGAATAAAAATGTTTGAAGCCTGGTGTGGAGGTGGGAGCAGTAGTCTCAGCAACTCTAGAGGAGGAGGCAGGAGAATCACTTGAGCCCAGTCAGTCCAGGCCACCCAGGCAACATGGTGAAACCCCATCTCAAAACACAAAAACAAACAAACAAAAATATTCTGACACTTTGGAAACCCAGCTATTCTCAAAACTCATCACACTATATGCATATGGTCTATGGGTTGTCCTATCTGTAAATTATACTTCTATTTTAAAAAGAAAAGTGGCAGGGAATGAGGATATGTTACAACACTGTTTAAAACTCTAAACTTCCTGTCCTTAAGACCCCGGTTCTTTACCACAGCTTCCAGGGGCCTCTATGACCTGGCCTCACTTCTTTGCCAGAACATCCCCTGTGCCCCTCCTTATTCACTGTGCTAGAGCCACACTGGTCTTTCCTGAGTTCCTCACACATTACAAGCCCTTTTCTGCCCCAAGACCCTGGTTTGCTATTTCCTCTTTTAGAACCCTTTTCCCAGCTTGTTGCCTGCTTGGTTTCTCCTATTCTGAAGTCTTATCTCTACCACCATGTCCTCAAAGGGCTCTTTCCTGACCACCCTGTCTAAGGTACGCCCAGTCCAATAATTCTTTGACCTCATCCTATTTATGACCTTTGTGGCATGCATTCTCGATATATGTTACAATTTTGGTTTTGGTTTTGTTGTTCATTTTTTATTTTCATCTTCCTCCATTTTCAATGTGTTTTCCCTGTAATACTGTATCCTCATTGTCTAGAATAGAATCTGCCAGATAAAAAGTACTTAGTAAATACCTGTTGACTGAATGAATAAATTGTCCTCTGAAAGTAGAAGGTAGAAGGCAAGTCCTTAGTGAATACAAAAATCATAATTGAAGAACATATTCCTTCAACCTAATTTTTTTTAAAGAGAGAGAGAGAGAGAGAGAGAATTTTTAATATTTATTTTTTTTAGTT